CCCAAAACCCCAAAACCCCAAAACCCCAAAACCCCTTTGACTGGCTGAGGGGTTGAATTTCGTGGCTGTAAATAATAAATCATGCAATAAATCTTAAACTCTATCTTGGTCATATTCAAAAGAAAAATCTGCTTTCTTATATTTCTTATTTGTATGCACTTCTTTTCCAAGATTCAGGGGATTGATTTTGTTATATTGATAAGTGTCTACATACTCTTTTTCTAAATATTTATCCCTTATCTGATTATATGTCTTTCCAAAGTGATCAATAAGGTGGTCTTTATTCTGATCTTTGTATTGCTGAACTTCTTGCTTATATTCCTCATATTCAGCTTCTTTTATTTTAACGTTCATTATTCCTCGAAGAGTTCCAAACACATTTATGTTTATAAACACCATTATTGGAGAGATTGCTAAGTGAATTGCATAAAAGTCTCTAATTTTGAATAAAGACTTTACCAATCTTACTGCTATTGGATAAGTGAAAGTGGCACTTAGCCCTGTCACTCCGATAGGAAGTAGGAATCATCAAAGTCTGTTAAGGTACATCTTCAAAACATCCTTCTGGATTGAGCTTTCATTTGAGGAGCTATAAAACAATTTATTAGCCAAGTGTTGTTTTTCAAAATCTCACACTTTAAAGAACAGTTTAATATGAAGAACTTGATCTTCAGTTTCAGATTTGTTTGACAACTTTATGGATAAACTGAATAAATAATTCTAAATATAAGCTAATCTTTCTAGAAATAGAACTCAAGATTTCAAATGATTTGTTTTTACCAAATGACCTAACATAAACTTCGAATTAATAATAATAAAAAGAGTGAACGTAAATTTAAAGATACTGATTAAGCTACTGCAACCTACAAGAGGATATATAGGCCATTATAGAATAATTATTAATAATTAGGCAAGGCTTAACCTTCCATCCATATGCTAATTAGTAAGAATCTTAGCTGTTTCTCATTTAAATAACATATAGCTAATAAAGAGGCAAAACTAGAGCAAACTCAATGTTCCTGTGAATAAAGCAAGTTTGAGATTAAGTAATCTCTGCTCAGTGGAAAGGTGTGTTTATATTAAATTAACACAAATACCTGAATGTTGGAAGCCCAAAAGATGCCTTTTTGGTTTGTGTCTTATTCTGAAGGTAATTACTGGTATATAATCTATTATCATATTTTGCTCTAATTTCTCTCTCATATTCATTTTCTCCTAGAAGCTCATCCTCTAAATCTTTGACATCTTTACTCATTTTTAATAAAATTAATAAAAAATGTTAAAAATTTTGGGGTTTTGGGGTTTTGGGGTTTTGGGG